TGTCTCCGTGTAATCTATTCAAACATGACCTTTGACACAACTCGACACATAATACGGTACGTAATATTTGTTAACTTAACAATAACATGGTGGTGCGTACGTCGAACCAACTCTGTGCGTTCGGTTGATTCGTTGAACTAAAGATTATAAAATCCAACATGGCGTCATTATTTGTTTATTCGCGCTTGGGGACAAGTCGTCATCGCGTACTCTTCTCCGGCTTATTTGCTCGTTGAACCTAAGGGAGAAATATCGGGAGCGCCATAATATCGTAATATCAAGAGTGCTGTGATGTCGTAGTATCAGGAGTGCGTAACATCGTAAGGTCGAGAGTGCGTTAATATCGTCGTTCAATTCTGTTCAAGAGTCGGAGCAAAGCGATGGAAGAAAAAGCGATATAATCTCAGAAGCTGGCTCCGAAGAAGTAGAAAAGGACGTGACACAACGACTGGTAAGTCAATTTATTTATTTATTGTTTCTATATATAATTATCTTGATTGATTGTTTATAACTATGATCGTTCTTTATTATCGCCATAATTAAGATGAGACAAGGGTTGCATTTCCGATATTCCTTACCACTACCGAAAATCTACAGTTCATGTTACGTACACTATAGATTTTTAATGCTTGGCAACAAACATTGAAACGCAGCCAGGGTCGATTTTTTATTTACTATTTGAAATTTATATAAAAATCATATTTCAAACGGAGATTTTCATCTCTGTTATTTGTATTTTAAGATTTAACTACAAAACAGGACAAGCAAAAGTTAAAAGTAAAACGTCGCAACAGATAATATTCGTTCTAAATTTATTCGCCAAAAAAAGATCGATCAAAATTCTTGTGAAAGAATGTATAAGTCAAAGATAATTCGTCAAATGTGAGGCGTTTATAAGCGTGTTGATCTTAAATGTACATAGCGATCGAAAATAATTGTTCTTTTATAAACATCGTTGACTGAGCAGGTATATTTATTTGACATAACATTAAATATTTATTCATACTATATTAATCAACATAATGTCGTTTAATTACTATTAATTAGTTTAATATTTTATTTTATTTCATTTGCGTAATTCTTTCGTTCTCTCTTTCAGGTAGATGATATTTATAGGATGCCTTTTTCGATTTATATCTATCTTCACTCCGCTGTGCCGATTACGTCATACGATACGAGCATAACGTATCGAGGTATACGCGGTTACTACTAAAACTATCCCTCTGCTATCAAATATTGTTGTCGAAACAACCGTTTACTATCATGTATCTCAACACAAACTTTTTTTTAATTGACAGGCGTTTTCACATTTCCATGTGATATTCGATCGAAAGTACGGTAATCCGAAAGGAAAAAAATATACAGAGCAACTTCGGTGTCACCGAGAAAATCGAGTAAGTAATTTTGAGTTGCTAACAAAACTAGATATATTCCGGTCCATATGCGTACACACAGTATTTATGAAAAAAAAAAAAAGAAAAACATATCTCGTATCTCTAAATAATTCGGAGAAATGCAATCTGGTTCTCTTTTTTTTATGAACATTGGATAATTTTTTCACCTTGATCTATCCCTCCTCTTTAAATTATATTTCATACAAATTATGCAGAATAATTTAACAACCCACATTACGCTTTGTAATTAATTTATAAAGCCTATCTATAAGCCTATTTTAGATGATTTGTAATTCATGAGAGAATTCGGGATATAATACGATTTATAATTATTTACGTGATTTTTACTATAATACTTTATATATTACTATAATTATTTATGTGACATAACAAGCGCGTAGTTAAAGCTTTATAAACATAATTTATATTCCTTAGTTATTTCCTTACAAGCAGAATTTTGTCTTGTATCTATCGCAAATTATAAGCCACGTGAAGCGCAGATTAAGCCGCAACTTAAGGCTAAATCTACTCACTAATTATGTTCTTAATCGCATAATTTAATTAATTACACAATTGACCACATAATTTAATAAATATAGTCATGTATGGCTGAGCAGCTTATGGTAATGTCGCAAACAATAGAATCAGGATTAGAGACTTTTAATGTGATATTCATTCAATGATCCATTCAATGTGATATTCAATAATCATATTAAATCCGAAATGAAATGTCAATAGCAAAAAGCGACACAAGGTTAGTGTTTTTAACCCATTTCGTTTTTCTGTTTCTATATAGAAACAGCAAATTTATCTGTCTTCAAAAAATTGTATTTATGACGAAAGTAGATTCTAGTTTAATCTAGTTTAATAGTTCTAGTTTAAATCTTGTTACTGTTACTTGTTACTGATTCTAGTTTAATCTAGTTTAATAGTTTTAGTTTAAATCTTGTTACTGAAATAGTTTGAATGGTATAATAGATGAACAATTTAATTTTTAACGTACAAATTATTTAGAAAAGAGTCATTTTTTATTCACTTTTTTTTTACAACTGATTCACTATTTTCTTACTTTTTCAAGAATGAAACTGACTTTTTCAATATTTTGATAGTTTAACTATTTTCATGCCTACAGTAATGAAATCTTAAAAAATAACGGGACTTACTTTACTTATTACTTTTCAAAAGCTTTCTGGCTTCTCTATTGTCGCAAATTCACGATTTCGGTACTTCATTAGCGGTACTTTTACAACGTATCGTCACACGATCGCTTATGCAAACTCAACCGAGAATCGATGTACACGTACAAACATCTTTACAAATGTTTCAACGCATCGCACGTTGAATTTTACAGGGCGCGTTCGCGCGGTGAAATATGTTGATCTTCCCTGAAAGATAGAGGAGATTAATGAACCGCTGCAAGCACGAAAATCTAAAATCAGATCTACACGAGCTGATAAAACGTTGTACATTATCATACTAGAGGCGTGTGTTTACAAAAAGATCATATTGTCTACTTCGATCTAAGCGCGCAAATATATGGAAAAGGAAATTTTTGTTAAAGGATGCTAATTATTCCATTGTGTGCTCTTCGTTTAATAATAATGTTCATAATATGCAATACATTTGCTTTTTGAAATTCGCAAAATTGAGACTACTTGAAATATTTAATTAAAATGATCGATACATTAGCATTATTATTACTTAGTAATACGTCATTGTTACTTTTTTATAGTAACTGTACTGTAATAGTTTGCTAACAATTATCATTCGCAGAACGCAATAAACAGATTAATCTCGCAGATTTTGCGAACAGTCCAATATCGTAATTAAAGAGTTACAGCAATATCTCCCTGTACTTGTAATTATTAGCCGCATTCCCGCCAATTGAAATACAACGATAATATCGGTGCGGTGCTCTGGAGCTTACCGAACGTTTAAACGTACGTTGTAAATTTGCCGGCGCGATTATGCGCTCGTGAAAGGCGTCGTGACACGCGCGATAAACCATAAGAGAAACGTTGCGTCTGATAGGTAGATTTATTGCGTTCGTGCGTGTAATTGTGTTTTGATATTTTCGCTTTCTTATTATATAATACTGTCGCAGCAGAGAAACTCGCTGAATGCGCTGCCCTTTGTCGGTCTAATCGGATTTTCGATATACCAAATTTTTTTCGGATATATATTTGTAGTTAATAAAGTGAGAATAGCATTGATTTACGTAATTACGAACGGAATGCAAAATTCGCATGCCACTTCTGCCAATTCTCGTTCTCTCTATTGATTTTTATAAATGTTGGTTATTGAGTTTTTTTATTTTATTCGACTTGCTTTTTCAGAAACGAAAATATGTTTTGCAGATTTTCGAATTCTTTTCTTCCTTTATTTCTTTTAAATCGTGTATTTGTTATTTTTATTTAAGCAGTCACAAGTAAGTCTAGTTTTTCAAATTATTTTTAAAAACGATCCATTTTTCTGAGTTTAATTTCGCAAGACTTATATTGATTAGCGGTAGAAGCGTCCAACATCTTTTTTATTCCTTTTATCGAAATCTTTAAAAAGAACCACAGCCACATGTCTACAAAGTGCATGTTACATTCGCGAGTTGTTGGTATGTTTTCGGAAACTTTGACACTTATCAGATTCTTCAGAACATGTTTTAAACGTTTGTTCTACAAGAGAAACGAGAGAAGCGAGCAGAATTTTCTTCTTCATTCCGTCGAGATTTTTTCAATGGCTACATGTGTATATATATATATATGCGCGCGCGCGCGCACACACACACGCAAACACACACACAGACACCAAAATTACGCTTTTTGTCGAGATATATGCTTCATTTGCAAGTTACTTTTTTTCCATTTTTCAACATTTTTTAATATTCATATATGTAAATTCCTCGTGACTCCTACCTATGGAGTATGATTATACGCCGGCGAGAAGTTTCGATCAACCGTCGGTGAAGGCACCAGGTGTCGGAATTGCTGCGGGCACCGCCGTTTTACCGACAGATAAACGCAACGAGGTCTCACTTTTTATGAAGCTATAATTATTTGCTAATACCAAATACGATGCGGATATAATTTAGATTGCGATAACATGACGAAATGAACGAGAAACTCGAACGGAATAAAAGGAGTTGGAAAAATTGCTAATAGAAATACACGAAATACATGTATTCCGCAAACTAAATCTTTCCGAAAAATTTGTGACTAAAATCTCGCTATTGTATTAAACAATTTTTAATCATTTTATAGGTAATTATGCGCAGCTTGTAGTTTACTTCAACGAAATTTTTTATATTTTGGTAAATAACATATGCGAATTGAAAAACTTCGAACCTCATTGATTACAAACTAAATATAGAGTTACTCGTTCGTAATAATACGTAATACGTATCATATGGCTATTATGTATTTAGTTATTGACAGCAATAACAAAATTTTAATAGTAACTCTATTATAATAGCGCTATTTATTATAATTATTCTGTAATCATTAGAACCTTGAATTACTTGAGTTAATTGTGTGATAATTTTAGCTTTTGAAATATCTTATGGGAAACTAACTCAAAGATGAATTAAAGAATAAATAATATGCCGTTTCGATATAAATTATAAATCATTTTATTAAAAATATTTTACGTACACGATATGTGTGATACATTCGACACTGAGACGATTACTTTCGCATGCAATAATATCGACAAATTACGTAAGCTCGAGGCCAGATCGTTCCGACTACTCACACTGTGACCTTTAATTATAGCTTGTCGAAGTCCGCAACGAAAACAGTTCATTTCGTAATTTTCGATGGTAGCTCGAAACATATAATTCTGTCATTTCCTTCGCGCAATGCGTAACGTACAGTCAATGCAACCTGTAAACAGCGTCACAATAAACATTTATGAGTGAGAACGGGAAAATCAGCCAAATTACAAAAGAATAAATCATGTATTAATAAATGGGAGTGTAGAACCCCGTCGAAAGTGCCCGTGAAATTACCGTGTCGCGTTGTATACACGTTAATCGATTGGCATTTATTATTATCGGAACGCACGTGCGTGATCGTGCGAGAGATTTCTCGTTCGGACAAAAAAAATAAATTTGAATACTGACCCTGGGATATATCGGCAGCACGTCGAAACTGTTTTTGTAGGTATATTCGACGCCTGGCTGCATCGGACATCCAGTTTTGCTACCTTCGGCGTTATAAATGTTTTCACAAGCGTTTGTTCCGTCGACTCCCACAAACGGTAAGGGCACGTTGAAAAGTAACGCGCTTACGTCGTTCACCAAACTCTGAATTGCTCTTTCAGGCGTAAACTTGGCTTGTATGTTAATTGTAGTACCCTGCCTCAATAGACACGTGGGTTTGTCGCAACCGGAAACCGTGATCTGAACACCGTCTGTTACTAGTGGCGCCCCTGAAATCATAAATTACCGCTAAATCAACGAGAAATATCAACTTGAGCAACGAAATTTAACAGTTACGATATAATATTTGCGTTCCTCAACTTATCACAAAAAGAAACATTTGTATATATTGCGAGAAATCTAAGGAGATAAGATAATACTAGTGAATTTGCTGATATAATTTGATTGAAACGTATTACTATTGGCCGCAGAATTATCAATATCGCTGTATCACCGTTAAAACCGGTTATACATGTTCGCGATGTATATATAATATCCAATGATGTTTCAGCACGGTGCACATACAAAGAACGAGTGCTTGAAATTATTTTAATACGTTATTTGCGTTACATTATATTTTTGGATCGCAAATTATATATTTGATTCTTGCGGAAATCGACGCGTCAGGGGAATATATAAATTAGCTGAGAGTCAAAGGTCGTTTTATTTAAGTCTATCATATCGAAGTAGTTTGCCTTGAGACACTTGATCTCCTTCACCGAACCTCAAAGTCATATACAGTATCATTAAGGATGCGAAATAAAAAATACAGTGAATCAAACATATTCATTACGTATATATCTCTCTTTTGCCACTCTAGTCAGAGAATGCAAATGCTAGTCGATATTTAGTTAAACGATTAAATAACTTTGCGCAAACGGTTGCCCTCGTCTTTTAAAGAGCGCCTCAAGCATTTCGAGCAAGAGCAGATTTCTATTAAGCCGGATTGCGGTGCTATTCGCGGAAAGCGGAGTTACGTCGCCTATGTTCGTATATATCACCTTACCGACATTAATAACTGGTTGCTTGTATGGAATTATTTCTCGATGAATGTTGCATGAAAACACGAATCCATCTTCGATATATCTTATTTGTTGAAAGGTAATTGCACGTTAGCCTATTATGATTGCGTTCGCGGTTGAAGGTCGACATTCGAATAACTATAGATGATAATGATCAAACAGCGAGAAGCAATATTAGAGGATAACGCGAATACTAATCTCTCGAGGGGCGAATAATTTGAGATTTAAAATTCGCGAGAGAGACAGAGAGAGAGAGAGAAAATTAAATAATCGCGGTATGCATAAAGGGAATTTGTTTCAAATTTTGTAAGTGTTTTTGCTAATGTAGGAGACACTCGCATACGTGTGACGTCTTTTTTTAAAAATAGATTTTGCACTATGACAAATGCAATGATGCTTCAAGCATGAGGGAATATTTTTCGACTTTTATGTGGATTATACGTTAAAAAAATATTTTGACTGAAGAGAAATTACGTTTCGTATTCCAATTGTACGATTGAACAGAAACAAACTTTTTTAGATCGCGCAAATATTAAACAAACAAATGCACTGAAGTGTAGCGATACAAACCGTTAAGCAAAAAAATACGCATAACATCTCATGCAACAGCGCAATGCTTTTTATCCTGTATTTCTTTGAAGCCACAACTATCATTTTAATGATATTCTCAAATCGCTCAATAACCAATCACGAAGTTCTAACATACATATATACATTCTATGTGTACATATTAGAACGTCGCCGCCGCGGCCGCCGCTTTCGATCGTACGCTTCAGGTGCGCTGCAGAGGAGTACCGTTTGAAAATTTATGCGAAACAAAACGTACGTTTATACGTACGCTGCGCAGCCGGCTTCGAGTTTCTAATGCAACATTGAAATCCTAAACATGTCGGTCGTAAATTAACGCTCACGTTAGTATTCCGCTCGTCACTTTCACCGCACGTCAATTATGTTTCTCCCATAAGTAATTACACGTGAGCATTAATAACAATGCAGCAGCTCGTTGCCCCGTTCGCACTGCGCCTTCCGATAATTAGCAGTCATTAAGCTCATCGCACAATGATAAAGTTACAAGAACACTAATTACACCGTTGGACCGTGTGCACCGACGACGGAACAACCTTCGACATCGCGCTCAATGCTCAATTCGCACGACTTGCGTGACAATTCTCAGTGATCCCGTCATTTTCTGGGGAAAAAGTTCCACTTGAGCAATTTGTCGTTTACGGTCGCGCAAACGTGCCCGCGACGATATTACGCGCCTCCGCAGAATTACGCAAGAAAAATTAATACTCGTAATAATGCTCGCAAACGTTCGCAAGCGCGGCATCTCATAACGATTCCGACAATCGCGCAGGTATCGATCGCTTGTTTACAAGTAAAATTTCAACGCTATGCCGCGAGAAAGTTTCACGAGAACATTCCACGACATATCCGGCAGGTGCCCCTCGAGTAACGCGGTAATCTTATAGCAAACACAACTCGAGACTCGCTGTCCTCTCGATGACACGGCAAAAAAGACGGCTTCCCAAGAAAAAGCTAGTCAAATCCACAAAGGTCCATAGTGGATATTTTTACGAAATTTTTTACGCATGAAGGAAAAATTATCTCCGTTACACGTTTGAAATAATAATTTTTACCACGGACTATCTGATTATTTTAATGAGTTTTCATCCGTCGTTGCGTTACATCCAATTAACTACATTTCGACGAGCTATTACGCGAAAAAAAGGATCAAAGGAAATAAAAATTTAATTATATCACAGTATATTAAAAAAGTCAGTTAAATGAAACTGAATCGCGAGAACCCGAGTTTGAGACATAATTTGTTAAAAAACTATCCGAATTAGATGGCGCGTTTTTCGCGATGTCTGCGATTCCGTGTTTTACGTACCATTCTCACAAGGCTGGACTTCAGTTGCACTAGCAAGCACGGCAAGTGCCGCGAAAACGAAAAGCGTTTCCCTCAGCATCCCAGTGAAAGTATCTCGTCCGTGTTGTACCTGTAGATCCGATCAGACCCAGCTCCGACTCTCGACTAACGACTGCGACCTGTGCACACCGCTTGTCGCTACACCGTCCGTCTGTCCGTCAAACTCCTGCCTTAAGTAGATTTTATCACTGCAAGGAAGGGGGTCGCAAAACAAAGCGTCTATTGTGGAAAAATTCGCGCATTAATTAAAAAGGAATACATTTGCGTATCGAAATAATTCCTGCAAATAACGATATAAAAACAACGCTCAGTACTTTAATAATCGGTAAATTAAAGTTGTATTAATTAACTATGCATATATAATAACAGGTCAGGTTAAGTCATATTGTCATATTCAGTTAATTTAGGTCATTTAGATCAGTATTTAATGCAAATTATAACTCAAACGTTCGTTAGAGAATAAATCTATATTTTTGTGCGACAGTGAAAACATATACAGTAAATTTGATAAATATATTGTAATAAATAATTTAGTACGTCTTAGAAGGTGAAGAAAAATTGTGTTCAGTATTTTGTGCCGTTAACATTACATTAACATTAGTATATAAAATTATAAAATATATTACATTAACATTAAACTAACATTAGTATATAAAATTATAAAATATATGAAATCTGAAAATCTTAAAGAATCTGACTTGAGGATAAATCTGAAAAATATAAGAACAAGCAAATTCATAATTCCAACGTCAAGCTTGGATCTATTTTTAACCTCATATAATGAAAAAACATGCAAAAAAACACATACATGTATAGGATGTTCTAGACCAACAGGGACAAACTTTATGAAGGCGTAGAATGGATTGAGGCGAACAAAAAAGCCCTGTACCATTTTACAAACAACATGCAAAATTTTGAGTTATTAATTATTGAAAATGTTCATGCTTCTTTAATTAATAACTAAAAAATTTGCGTGTTATTTGCAAAATGGTAAACAATTTTTTTCTTTAACCTTTTTCTTGTTAAAAATGGTCGAATCTATAAATATATGACAACTGTTGTGCTTAACGACGAACATTATTATATTGAACTTTGAATCTGGAATTGTGAACCTGTCGCTAAGTACAATAGCTGGCACACGTAGATTAGATCACTGAATAAAAAAAGCCCTTTACCATTTTGTAAATAACACACAATATTTTTTAGTTTTTTATGAAAAAGTCTCTATACTTGGTCATTTTTAATAATTAATAACTCAAAATTTTGCGAAGTTGCAAAATAGTAGAGGACTTTTTTGTTTACCTCAATCTATTCTACGCTCTTACGAAGTTTGTCCCTGTTAAAGTGGGACATCCTGTATATATATATTTATAATGATATATTACAGTTTTTTATAGCTAACGTAATGAGATTTTGAAATATTTTCTTTTATACTATAATTATTAAATTATAGATGCAATTATTAAGTTGTATATTATTAAATTATACGTATTAAGTTATAGATATGACAAGAATGTAAAAGAAATTGATCATTTCAATATAAGAACGTAGATATGTTATAAATTAGCTCTCGTTATCAAGCTGTCAGACTTTATGTGACTTCACTACACGAGCTACACATCAGGATTATAAACACTTTTTATCTTAACTCTTATATAACAGAGATATTTTTTATTAGCTTGCGTCACACTCTTCAGACGTCATCATGTGAAATCATATGTTTGAATTTTCAGCAAAAATGATCGAAATTGCTCATAATTACAGTAATATATGCGAATAAAATTAAATTTATCCTGGTTTTTTCTTCGTTAATATTATAGAATTTTAAGAGCAAATATATATGACACTCAAGATTAAATAAATCATGTTGTTAATAATATGCAATAGCAATTTTCTAATGTCTTACTAAACATCTTCGGAAAAAATTTAGCATTATCAAAATTAAATGACTGTTAAAATAATATTCTACCAAAATTTTTGTAAGAATTTCAACGCCATCAAAAGTAAATAATTGTTAAGATAACGATGTTGTAAGCAAGCTTTCCCCCCTAAAATTCTACAACATTCCTTAAAACACATGCTTTAATTAGTACGTTAATATTAATGTTTTAAAACTATGACCAGTATTATAAGATTAACTTAAATGACCTTTGTGAAGGATAAGTGTATAGCTAGCTGAGTATGATAAACAACTCGACAATTTTTAAAGACACGTGAGAGTTCCGAGTTTAAATAAGGACGCGGAATGGCGGCTCTTCATAATGTTTGATTTCTCCTTTTTTCTGCCTTCGTTTCGTATACCTCAGCACAACGAAACGGAAATGAAACGGACCATCATGGTCACAAGAACAAAGCACCGGAAATTAAGAATCTCTGTCCACCATCTCGTCCCTTTCCTTCTCCGTTTCCCTCGTTCTCACCTTCTTTCTTCCCCCCCCCCTCTCTCTCTCATTCTCTCTCTCTCTCTCTC